GAGTTGCACTTAGAGAGTATCTAGTTTTAGCCTTGATGCTATTTTAAGTATATTCATTCATATTATTAGCCAATTATTAATCTAAATATTGTTATATCATAAATCTTAATGTGCGTGTTATTCTTGGGGTGCCTACAGGTATTGTTTCAAAATCAAATATACTATTTCCAAAGAATCCAATTTTTATAATAAAGTATGCATCTTTATAATTAGGGTAGCTGCGTGACGTAGTTACGTTCAAATCAAGAACGTAATATAATAAGAACTTTTCAATAATTATAAGAACATGAATAATTTTCTTATACATTTCATTTCAAGTACTGTTTATCTTTAAATTAACTTAAATTTGCAATATACATATGAGCTAAAACATGATTTTAGAGTTTATCTAAACTACAAATCAAGATTGGGTTATTAATATACAATACTTTAATATTACTACATATATATATATAAGTTATGCATTACTTATAAGAATTTTTTTGATAGTTACAGGCATTTCGAGTAGTGGTAAACGATTTTGGAATCTCATATACTGTAGTAGACGTCATTCCCTCTCTAAAATGATAACTGTGTTGATTTTTTGTTAATAAAACTTCGAATTGTTCAAATATAAACAAGTTACCTGGGCAATCAACCCTCAAAGGCCAATTAGAAGAACTACACCCTATGAGTACAACACACTCATTCATGCATATATATTTATATACATATTTTATACACGTTTTATAATCATTTCATATGTCTGACTTCCATCCAGTCATAACCAGAATTTGTTCACTTGCCATTCTAGTTGTCGGCTAACTATACACTTTGTAATTTCATTGCTACGTTCCTGGTATAAAGATAGAAAAAGATTAGCAGTGAAGTCAATAGGGTCAATGGGCCAATGGAGCTCAAAACACTACTATTAATTAACTCCATTTAGGCTCTATTGCTAACCTTGAGGCAGGGTTAACAATTATACTATATTATTAAGAATAAATATATTAATAACATTGCATTAAGATTTATTTTTATCATTTATTAAATAAAAATCTTTGCCTATTGAGCTTCATTTTTGTTATTCATTAAAATAAATGCTAATATAATATACCGTATTTGTATTAATGCACATGGGCATAATTTGGAATAATGGCCCAAATTAAGTTTAATTTAAACTGAAATTCAAATTACACTCCTGCGCGTTATTGCGCGCAAATATGATATGGGGTTTGAAAGTTTATTGCATAAATTCATCACATAGGTACGTAGTACTATATATTTAGAATATTCAGATACTGCGATAGCAAAATCTGCGCAGAATTTGTACAAAATTTTGTGAGCAGAATAGTAAATTAATGGAGAACATAGTCTATAGTGATAAAATTAGAATTTTCTTTTATAATTTTGTTTTTAAAGTATTATTTATATGCTGCTGCAGAATTCATAAACCTAACAGTAATTGCGGCAGAAATTATCAGTTAGAGCAGCAGCCCCTTTGATACTCTATTGTATATATGGTATTTGATTTGTCTTCAAAACTTTATCCAATAATCATATATATTTATTTAGTTAAAGTGACGTGTTTAAATTAACAGATATAAATCCCTGTCATGTGATTATAATAAGATGAGGATATTTTATATGATTTTTATTTATATAAAAGGATTATTTCATATCTTGTTTTTTGTAAAACATCATAGCTCGATAATATTATGCCTTGCTTTGCGGACACTATTGTAAAGATAAAATTTGAAAAACAAAGCATAAATAAAAAATCTGGACTGATTTCAGTATGGGCTATCGGAACATATCCTGTGGAAAAAGAGGATTGCATAATTGAGTTGGCCTTGTTTATACCGATTAATAATGATGAAAGAGATTCCGACATACATGCTATTTTTAAAAAGGACGAATTTTATTTAGTCGGAAGAAAAATTGTTCCTGGGACATATAATAACGAAATAAGACCAAAGGTATTTCTATGACAATAGTTTACAGTATAAAAATATATAATATTTATTTATTTATTTATATTATCTTATAGATGACAGTATCATCGTCTACACATTTAAAAATTCTGAATGGAATTCTGTTATCAAATAAATGCCCTTTAAAAGTTTTATTAGTAGGTGTTCCTCAAGAAAAACTAAATGAAATTGACGTGAATGCTGTTTTCAACATGCTTATTTACGATTATGCTGGTTGTGATTATAATTTTACTGTCAAAATTGTATATCCGTATCTTAAATCGAGGTTTAAATATGTAAAATATCTTATTCAACCAAAAGAGTCTATTATTTTTGTAGTTGGTATAATGGAGGTTATCGAGAATAATTTCTATGTATATGCTAATGAGATTAATAAGATTGATATTAATCTAAACGATGGTAATAGTAAGAATTATATACCATCAACATCAGCAAAATTGACTCGATCAAAACTTATGTTTACACATCAAAGTATTAAAAATATAGAAATCGACCCTAATATTAGAACATTGTCTAATAATTTTGTAAACGAGCATCAATCTAAAGAATCATTGGATATTTCAGATTTGTTAAAGCGTAAAAGAGTAGATGGGCATGATCAAGAATTTGTAACAATCAGCGATGAAGATATTTGTGAAAACAATAAAGAAACAAAAGTAAGAAGCAATGTTAATAAATACGAAAAAAATCACAAGATTATCAAAAAAGTAAGAGGCATATGACTCGTAGTTCAGTTAATAAAAACAAAAGTCATGACTCTAGTATAGAAGATAATGAAGATAAAAATAGTATAGCATAAATCAATAAAAATTGTTTTGATTTTTTTTTATAATGAAGCATTACTATTGTGATAAGGCTTTTTTTAAGGTTTTTTTCCTACTAAAAATGATGTATGAGAATACTATATAATTAGATATATATATAGGGTGTTACATATTAAAACAACCCATTTTTTCAAAATTTCAAAAAAAATTTTTTGAATAGATATATATTCAATAAAAAAAGTTTGCTATAAGTTACGAAGGCTGATTTACACAAAGTATTTATATGTTTTAATATTGTTGATTGAGCTTACAACAATATCGATACAATTTGATTCCAATAGGTAACTTATAATATATATTTACTAGAACCACAGTGATAAAATAACGAATTAACCTTATGCAAATAATTGTGCACGTGAAATAACGTAATTAATAAGATCTAATTGTATACCAGAACAGCATAGATTTGAATATACGCATAAGTTTAAATGTGCGTAATAATTTCTTTATTAATCGTAAATTTATACAAATATCTGTTGAAAAAACACCATATTGTTAGTGGGTAAATTGTCAACACACACCCACAAACGAAAGGTAAACGACGGTCGATTTCTGGGAGAACGAGGAAGACAACAAGTAACAATACTCAATAGAGAGGGGACGTAAATCAGCATAGCGAACATCAAAAAAGTTGAACGGAACCCTCCCTCACACATTTCATGTTACACATTCATGTGATCGTACTGGTATAATGAAATCTGTCATGTCTTTTAGCTAAATATTTTAATTAATATGTAGATAAAAATCTATCACAATATACCTGGTACGTACTATACGTACGTATCAAGTTGGCGTTATTTCAAATCAAGATGTAACCTGTATAACATGCGATTTAGGACTCTAAACCACATTTTTCTCAATGCAAACGGATAAAATACGTAAAACAATAACAATAAGAAGTACTTGTATTAGGGTATGTTAAAATGATCTGATGATCTGCAAGTGCCAATTCTGGTTAGTGTTCAAACGGGTCATGCATGACCCGCAGGCTACCCGGGTCAACCATGTTGATCACGGGTCAGTCCAGGCCGGTTCTGGCCTACGGTGGCCCGTGGGCCAGGAAGATTTGATTGGTTAAAAAATAGAGATTATCTAGCAGAAGTGTTATGTAAATTTTATTACTTTATAAACGCATAAATTTGAAAAATAAATATATATTCATTTGTATTAGAGGTTTATCTTGCCACCTTGCCCGAACTAGGCAAGTATATAGTATTATGATTTTTCTTATATGAAAGCAAAATTTGTCAATTTAATGGAAAATAAATATAAAGAAAATATATTCAATAAATAAGTGTCTTGGCTATATTCGAGCTTGGTTCTGCCATATTGCTTTTCGTGCTTTTAATAAAACTCTAAATTTCGATATCTTGGTTATATAAAAGAAGAATTGATTCTCAATTTTATAAGTTTAAACGTTGTATTTATTGTCGTTTTATTATTTTAACCGTTAAGTTTCTTAACGATCGTATTATTAATTACTTACGTCACATACGCTATAATTGTGATTATATTAGATTAATTGAATCTTGATTACTGTTAGAAAACAGCAGAGACAGTGCCTGATCCAGAGTGAATCCCTCTCTCCTGTGATCAATCACAAATTAAATTATTTATATTGGATTCAATTGTGATGAATAT